CCTGAGAAGAGGGTGGGGGTGGTGAGCAGCCTCCGGACGGCCAGCTCAACTTCCCTCGGGTTGGTTCCAGAGAAAGACATCTTTTAGAAACTTAACTTTGCATGCTGGGTCCACCGTGTGCCACAGAGCCCAGCTGTGTCAAGGAATATTATTTTCAGGTGTGTGACTTTTGGTTCGTTGCATTTCTTTGACTCTGTGAAGCTCTGTTGCTTTGCGTGTCTCAAACACCTGATGGTCTAATAGTTAACAGCCAGTAGCTTGGCAGGAGCAAGGATAGGTGGGGCTGGCAGACAAAAAACAGCAGGAGAAACGAGAAGGAGGAGCAAGAGAACAGGAGAAGAGGACATCAGGGGCCAGCCATCTTGGCCCCTGGAAGCTGTGTGGGAGAGGGAGACCCCTCTATCACAGCCCGTCAGCCCTCTCACAAGTGGCTTTTTGGAAAGGGAAGGGTTTACTTCATCTTATGTGTCCAGGTCATAGTCTGTCACACAGGGAAATGAGTGCAGGGCAGGGCAGAAAGGTGGCAAGGGCAGAGGAAGACACCTGACAACTGGCTCTGGCCATTGCATGCTGGGACACGGGCACAAACACTGGAACACTCCCCTGTGTGTACCACACACATACATAAGACAGGGAAAGAACGCAGGGCAAGAACCTGGAGGCAGGAACTGAAACAGAGGCCAAGGAGGGGTGGTGCCTTCTGATCTGACCCCCATGGGGTGCTCAGTTTGTCTTCTTAGAGCACCAGGCCAGGGGCAGCCTCACCCACACCTCCCTCAGCAATCATCAATCAAGAAAACGCTTCACAGCCTTGCCACAGGCCAGTTTGGTGAGGCAGCATCTCAACTGAGGTTTCTTCTTCCAAAACGACTCTAGCTTGGGTCACGTTGATATAAAACTAGCCAGGAGAGACGCCAAACAAGCTCCCAGGTCCCTGTTGAAGAGGCTTGAGGACCCCTCAGGCTGGCAGCAAGCTGGCAAGGGGAACCTGGCTCCCCTGGCCCCAGTGTAGAGGGAGAGCCTCTGGCTAGGGCTGGTAGGAAATGGGGAAGGGGCGGCCTGGCTTAGCTTGTTGCTTCTGAACCCCCAGCACACGAAGTGGGGGAGCAGGGTGTGGGGAGGATTCCTCATGCCTGGTGTGGCATGTCACAGACATGTATCGGTCCCAGGTTGCTTCCAGCATCAGAGCCAGCCATGTCCTCAACCTGTGCACCCAGAGGAAGGGAACATGCTACAGCTTTGTGTCCCGTCCCTTGTCAGAGAGCTGCCCTGTCCCAGAGCAGCGACAGCTACTGTTGGCCTCTGGTTTATTTCCTCTGTCCTTACAGCCGAGGACACCGAGGCCAAGGAATGCTGTGGAACTTTCTCTTGTTCCCCAGTTCCTGAGTGGCAGAGGCGGGATTGGAACCTGGGCTGTGTATGCAGACACCTGGTTGGGCTGCCTCGAGGCCTGAAGTTCAGTGGCAAACAGAACCGAGATGGATCTGAGTCGGCCATTACGGCCAAAGCCTGCGAGAGGGTTTCTGAGCACGTGTGTGCGCGCAACCTCCGGGCTTTCCTGAGACTGCCTCTAAGCTTGCAGGGCCCTCCCCCCACACACTCAGGTTTATTTTATTATGCATATGAATGTGTATCAGTGTGGGCAGGTGTGCAGGAGTGCAGTGCCTGCAGACCAGAAGGGGCATCGGGTCCTCGGGAGCTGAAGTTACAGGTGGTTGTGACACCTGACGTGGGTGCCGGGAACTGAACTTGGGTCCTCCGGAAGAGCAGGGAAAGCTCTTCACCACTGAGCCAAGTCTCCAGCCTCACTTCTCTCTTTTTAATTCCAGGGCTTTATTGTACAGTAGGGAAGATCTGGCACGCCTACCCCCAACCCTTTGTTATTAAAACCTTTCTCGTTTTATGTCCAAGGGAGTCACTGAGCCAGATTGTCCTTTGGCAGAAGATGTTTGTGAAATTATTAATGCCTTGAACAGACAGACAGCATGGCGGGGGTCCTGCCTTGGGGAGACAGGTATTCTGAGAGAGTTCAGTAGGCCCACCAGGCAGAGTGTGGATCCCTTCTTATAGGTCTCAGAGGAAATCTGGGGGGCAGGGAGCCTCAGGTAGTCTGGCAATCTTATTCCTGAGGGGCAGGGGTAGAGGGACTTCTGGGGTAGGGATGCATGACCGAGGCTGTGAGGAGGTGAAGAGGGTGTCTCTCCCTGGAATCACAGGGGGTGCTGGGATGAACTGTGGGGACAGAAGAGGGGAGACTGCAGATGGTGTCACCCGAGCAGTGTCTGGCCTGGGGTTCAGAGTCCCAGTTCTGGAGCCTGTCACAGACTCAGCCAGGTTCTAGCGAGGATGCCAGCTGGCAGCCATGAGCCCACGTGTGGAATGTGACTGATCAGCCCCTAACTTAAACCTGAAGTTCCCGGCAACCCCCTTTGTGATTTCCATGAGGATTTTATGACAGTAGAACTAGAAAAACCTTTGAGCTTTCCTTCCTAAAACAAGAATACCTTTATTTATAGAATTCACCAGCACGGCGCCGAATGCCAGTTTCTAGGCAGGGTTGGCAGCCACCCAGGAGAAGTGGCTCCACCTGGTCTTTTCGGGGTTCTGCGGCCTTATCCTGCTCGTGGGGCTGCCGGCCAATGGGCTAGTGGTGGCCTGGGGTCCTCGAGTTTCTCGCTTGCTCTTGGCACTGACCACCAGCCTTATGGTGGGAAGCTGTCCGACCTGCTCTTCTCATCCTTTGTGGTACCTGCCCAGCTGCTGAGCCTCTTGCATCGGGGCTGGCTGGGCCCTGCCATCTGTGCCACCAGCCAGGCCGCCAACACAACCACAACGTTCTGCCCTTTCTGGGCAAGACTCAGGGTCATTTTCCAAAGTTTCAGAAGAGCAGTACTTCCTGGAGTAGCAGGAGGTATCTCGCCATGTCAGGGACCCCAGGACCTGGCAGGAGTCTGAGAGGACAGGCTGAGCCCAGAAAAGCTGAGCTTCAAGGCTGAGAGGAGGAGTATTCCTCATCTAGAGCCTGCCTCTCCATTTTCTCATGGGGACACAGAGTGCCACAGGCTGCCACAAACAGCAGCCAGTGGAGTAGATGGTGACAGTCCACGCTCCGTGCAAGAACTGTGAAGCTCAGACACCTGTGGGCTCCCAACCTTAGAGTTTTGTGATCTTGGGCCTCTGTGCCTCAGATGAGAATCTCCTCTTCACAGGGGGAATTCCCAGGAGGAACCCACATGACGTGTGGGGAGGGGCAGGAGCGAGTTACCAAGATACCACCACCATCTCATGTTCACCAATTCTGGGCACTTGAGTAGATTAGTGGGGGCCGGAAAGCTCACCACCCTGGGGTTCTTAGTCCTGCAGGCCACGGGCAGGCTGCCCCAGCCAGGTAGAGTCCAAGGGAGCCCCTCACCTGCCTTGCCCGTCCCTGTCCACCCTCTCCAGCTCTGTCCTACACACCCTCAGTCCCAGACAGGAACAAAAATAAAGTCCACGCTGGAGACGCGAGTCTGGGCTTGTGAATTACTGGGCCCTGCCCTTCCTTCTGTGTGGTTTCCAAGGCCGCGCCTTCCGGTTAGGGCCCACCTTTCTCTCTCTGACTCTTTGGATGTGGCCTCAGCTTCTGTGTTGGCGCTGGAACCAGGAAGGTTGTGTCCACTATCATTCTCAAGACGGCTTGTTTAACGTAACATTACCAGTTACACAGTTACACACACACACACACACACACACACACACACACACACACACACACACACACACACACACCAAGAGCAAGACAGGAGCGAGAGGGGAAACTCTTGGACTGTGTGGTCAAAAACCCCAGGTCTATTGTGTTGAATCAAGTTAAACCAGTCCTTGCTATGGAACTTGTCAGGGCCTTGGGCACCCCAAAGGGCACTGAGGCTATCCCAAAGGGACTCAGAGAAATCATCTGCCTCAGACTCTGTGCAGAACACACCTCGGGAAAGAACCCAGCAGAGAAGTCACATCACAAGGAAGATTCTTTCGGTGTTGTGTCCCCCCACCCCCACCCCAGGGGCAGCTGCTCTGTGTCTGGATTCCCCTGCTGGGCACCTATCTCTCCCCACACTTTCCCATGGCTGCTGGTTATGGAAACCTCCCTTCTCTCAGGCCACGACCCCACCCCAGGCCCACTCAGGGCGTCACGGGAGTTGCAGGGCATCTGATTACAGGGGCGGCTCTGAGTCAGCTCTAATTTACCATGAAGTCACCAGAAGCAAACAAGCCCCGGACTGGAGGATAATTAGTACTGAATGCCTCCGGGTACAGGCTCAGCATGGCTGCCCAGAGGGCTCATGGGACAGCATGCGTAGTTTGTGTGTGTGTGTGTGTGTGTGTGTGTGTGTGTGGAAAGTCCTTGTCCCCGCGATCCAGGCTGGTGATGAAGGGACCAAGAAAGATGTTTACTGTGTGCCCAAGTACACAGGGCCCTGGGTATGGCACACCATCAGGGCACACTCTGCTGGGCACACACCCCGGGGGTCACCCTGGATGAGCCAGAGTGTCCGTTAGTGCCACAGCTCCCAGCCCTTCCTGCTGGCGGGCACTGCTGCCCTGTGGGTGACTTAGCCCGGAGGGTGACGCTGGGGAGGGAGCCAAGGCCTCTGACCCCTGTAAAGGCTGGAATGGGTGCTCAGCAGACTTCTGTTCAGAGATGAGGAACTACGTGATTGAATGTGATAGGGATCCCGTGTTGGAGAGGTTCAGGTCACGTGCTGGTTCTCTCACTTCCTCAATGGCTACATCTCTCCAGAACAAACGTCAGAGCCCTTGCCATGAACCACAAGGCCCTGTGCACTCTGGCCCCCTCCCTGAAGTCAGCTCCTGCACTCTCTTCCTTAACTCTCTCCTTGTCCCCCTTCACACACACCAGGCTCCTACCTCAGACACTGTCCTGACTCACCCCACTGCCCGAGCCCAGTGCAGCCAGGTATCAGCATGGCTCCTGGCCACATCGCCCTGGGGCTCTCCTCAAACATCTGACTGTCTCATTTAAATATCTCTTCTGCTGTCTGATCCTCCATTCTCTCCCATTGCTGCAGACTCTTCCCACTGTCCGAAGCCAAGCTACAGACCCGAGTGTCTGCACACTGCTGTCCTTCCTGTCTTCCGGGATGTTTCTGAGGGGCATCCCCTGCCACATACCCCATGCCTCTCACAGGGTCATACAGAGCCATGGCTGAACCAAAGAACTGAGGTAGCAGAGCGGCTGGGCCAGCGGCGGAGCTGTTTTCTAAGGAGATGGGACATGTTTCTACTAAAAGAACCAATTTACTTCAGTTTAAGGCAAATTTCCACAGAGACAGTCTCAGACAGGCACAGGACCAGACAGCAGAAACACCACCATCATTGCATGACAGAGGCGGGTGGGATGGGAGATGGTAGGCGGGGACCCCATGCGGTATAAGGGACACATGCAAGACCTGCCCCAGTGGGGTAACCTTAGGTGGAAAGTTCCTTGCTACCTTCCACGGCAGGGGCAGGAGCTCTGAAGGGCTGGGGTGTGGGTGACAGGATGCAACGGGGTAACCCCAGAGTCTAGATAGCCTGGGTGTGGACAGCAGTCATGAGGGGGGATGGGGAGGCTGGGTGTGGAATGGATGGACCCTCAGGATGGCTCAGGAAACGCTGGACCACCTGACCAATCCTGTCGTCACGGAGGTGTGGACACTGAGGTCCAGAGAGCAGAGGCTGCGCTGGGTGGGGACAGGCTGGTGCTCAGGGCTCCTGGCCCCAGAGCCATTGAAGGGCAGAGAGGAGGCCAGACAAAGTACAGGGGCTGGCCCTGTGCCCTGCAGGTGAGTGGCCTCCCAGGTGAGCAGGAGACATCTCAATGCCACAAGCTACCTGTGACGGCTCCAGTGAGGCTGCAAATGTGCATCTAGAACATTCTAGCATACCGCCAAGCCTTTGAGGACTGCGAAGGGACTGACTCTTAGCTAACCATCACAGTCCCTGATGGCTCACAGGCTCTGCTCACAAAGTGTCCCTAAGAAAGTCAGTCACACATCCCTGGTAGCCCATCAACCTGGGGTTCCCTGGACACAGGACAGGGGATCTCAAGGGACTGGGGACACTAGACACTAGGGCAAGAGGGGAGGGGAGCTAGAGGAGGCCTGCAAGAATAGGGGAGTCTGGGACTATCCAACACAGGCTAGGGGAGTCTACTCAACCGCAGAATCCTATGTACCCCTTGTCTTCTACACCACCCCCAGTTCCCTGGATTTGGGTGGGAAATTGAGGCCAGGAAGTGGGGTGAGATCATGGACACCCCATCTCTTGCCAGTCCTCCAAGAAGAGTCTGAGAAGGCGACCACAAGGAAAGTGAGGTCTCAGCCTCCAGGCCCCTGGTCCTGCGAGTTTCAGATATGCGTGTGGAGGGGGGATTCAGAGGGTGAGTGGGCTGGGGACTGTGGGGGTGACTGAGCAGGTGCGGCGGGTGGTGGGCGTGGGCGGATGCCCTGTGCCTTCATGTAGGACACCAGCTGGTCGGGGATCTCGGCCAGCACATCCCGGGCCAGGCGGGCCATGCTCAACACGTGGTTGCCGGTACGGTCCACGTAGTCCCGGAAGGGCACGAACTGATAGGCAGGAAAGTGGGGTCAGGATGGGCATCTCTGGGTCTCCTCCCAGAGGACCCACTGTATCCAATCCCTGCTTCATGGGTTTCACCAAGGGCTGTCCCTTGCAGAGATACCCAAGGACTCCATGCAGAGATACTCACCCCCACTCATGACAGGTTCTAACACTGACCCAAACCCTTCATCTGAGACTCTAGTGATGCACAGAGGCTCAAGGGATGCTGGGAAAGCTTGATCCTGGCTTCCTTTCCTCTTACCAACCCTCTCTAGAGGGAGCCCTCTGTCTCCTAGGATCCTTTCTCCTCTAAGCCCACACCTAACCCACTATCTCCTCAGTGCTGTCCCCCTCTGGTTCCTTCCTGCCCTCGTCCTAAACACTAAGGACACTGCCTCCATCGTCAAGGGGTCTCCATGCCACTGGAAGGCCGCGTCGCACAGACTACTGAATGTGTATGAGCACGGAGCCTTTTTGCAGGGCTTGGGTTCTGTGGGGGCATCATTGGGGTTAGAAGGCAGCTTCATGCAGGGCATGGCAGGGAGGGACCCTGGCTGAGGAGGGGATTCCAGGGTCTGTCCTTGGGGACTCTGCAAAGGGGCGCTGAGGCTGCTGGCCTGGCTAGAGGCCTTCATATTTGATGCACTACAGTAAGCAGGGCCTGTTTCACCTGGACAATGTCCCGTTCAGCCAGTTTCCCCCGGGAGGAGATCCGCACGTCATCACCGTCCAGCTCCACCATGGCTGTAGGGACAAGCAAGGGATGCGTGTGTGTGACGGAGTATATCTGGCAGGACCTGCCCTCCAATCCCAGGCCAGTCTAGGGCCCTTGCCCTGACACCAGAGAGGAAACAGGCGGAGACAGACGGACATGCAGCTAGGGCCGTTCCCCTTGTCCAGGCTCCTTGCCTGGATGGAGGAGTGGTACGGTCCCGATAATGAGGCTGAGGCATGCGTGTGAGGATGGACACACCCTCTTGGGACACACAAACCCACCCAGACACGAGCTATTGCTGGCGGGGACAGGATGCCATGGAGTTCTGTGGGAAGAGACGTCTGGGAAGGGGACACTGGACTCACCATCGAACTCAGCCTGGCCCACACCGACAATGATGATGGACATAGGGAGTTTGGCAGCCTGGGAGAAGACAGGGGAGGGTAGAGTCCTAGGTGAGGGATAGGAAGGTGGGCCAAACCAAGAGAGGGCAGGGCATGGGGCAGGAATGGATAATAAGGGTAGGGGACCCCAAGGAACCCCAAGGAAAAGGACAGGATAGGGAGAGAACCGCCAGATCAAGAGCAAGAGGAGAGTCTTTCAGGAGAGCTGGGTCTGCCTGACTCTGAGCCACCTCCTCAGGCACTGGGGCTCCACCATGAGGGACCAGGGCAGCAGTGGCTGGAGCCACTTTTATAGGGAAACCATTGAACAGGGTTGGGGGAAAGCTTTCCTCATGTTGGGATCCTCTACCTCCTCTACATGACAGGCAAGCTGGGGCCTAGGGTGGGTGACTGAGGCAGCCATGGACCCCAGAGAATAGGGCCATCTGTGTGGCTCAGAGGTCTGGCCTCTCACAGACCCAGAGTTTCTTTTGTCTCCCAAACCCCTGTCTAGCACTGTCTCCTAGTCCTGCCAGACTCTGGCCAGCAACTAGAGGAATAAGGGAATTCAAAAGGGGCGAGGGGACTTTAGGGAAACATTGTGGGGGTGGGGAAAGAATCCCCCAGTGTTTCTTTAAATGAGGCACCCCCACCCCACCAGGTTCTCCTAGGGGTGGGACAGGATGCTTCAGTCCGCTGAAACCATGGTGTGTGTGTGTGAGAGAGAGAGAGAGAGAGAGCGCGACACCCCCATCCCCCACTCACGTTGACGATGGCCTCCTTTGTCTGCGCCATGTCAGAGATGACGCCATCAGTGATGATGAGCAGGACAGAATACTGGGAGCCATCCTGCACAGTGGCGGCATTCCTGTAGGGGTGGGGATAGGGACACAAAGAGGTGTGTCCTGGCGCCTCTGGCCCAGACCCCCTGAACACGACTCCCAAACATTTTATTAAGGGGGTCGAAGGGCATCTCCCTGGGCCTCTTGGTGAGCAGGTGGCATGGGATGCTCCGTTACACCCTCCAGCCATGCTTCCCGGTGGGGGGGGGTCAGCTGCCCCAGGCTCACCTGGCTACGTGGGTGACTACAGGGGCGAAGTTTGTGGGGCCGTAGAGCTGCACCGTGCGCAGGCTGCTGTGGTACGCCTCCAGGATGCCGTCAATGCCACAGCATGAGGGGTTCTCCTGGTTGCCATTCTGGGACAGAGAGGAGCCAGCTGAGCTCAAGTAGGCAGGAAGGTGGCAAGGCAGGGCTGGGTCCAGGGAGGGGGGAGGGGCAGAGGCAGGGTTGGGCACAGGGCTGGCCAGGGTGGAGGCAGAGGCAGGGCTGGCCCAGGAAGGAAGGGGGAAGACAGGGCTGGGTTCGGGAGGGAGAGGCAGGCAGAGGCAGGGTATAGTTGCCTTTAGCTCAGACCCTAAGCCAAGTAGGTGGCCATGCCTATGGAGTTTACTCTGCAAGTATTTAGGCCAAGGCCAAGAATTAGAAACTCCCGGTCCCCTACTGCTCATTCCCAGCCTGGCACCTCCTACCAGTGGGAACTCATGTGACACCCTGCCGTCAGGGGGCAGCTTGGCCCCGAAGCCCAGGGCAGGGAACATCTTGTCGCTGTCGTAATGCTGGATGATCTCCCCGACGGCGGTCAGCGCCAGCGCATAAGCGTTCAGCTGGTAGGGGCTCATATAGTGCAGGGATGTGGACTGCGAGGGGTTCCCTGCAACACAAGACGTGGGGACATCTGCCAGACTGGACAGGGCGTGTCCACAAGCACCACTGTTCATCCTTGAACCTTCCCTGTCACGCCCTCCACGCCATCCTGGTTCAGGAGTGATTGCCGAACCCTTGGAACACATTCAGAATCTCACTTCTTCCTCAAGGCCATCACTGTCTGGTGCACAGGGCAGCAGTAACCTCCTCATGACCACCCCATGCCCGTTTGCCCTGGCCTGCCCTTACCTGCTGGCCACACTACACACTGGCCTGCCTGCCCCGGCTCCAAGGCCAGACCATCTGCTTGAAGGACCCTGAGCCCTCATCCCACCCAGACCACCCCAGAGCCCACCAAGCCACAGGATCCCCATGAATCTGGCCTCCCATCCTCCTTCCAGTCCGAGCTCCACAGCTGCGGCTTCTCCATGCTTCCTTGCATGGCCCTGGCGGTGTCTGTTTCTCTCCTGAACATTCACGAGGCTCGCCTCCTTGTCTCTCTTCTACGGCCACCGAACCAGTGTGGCCCTCCTCTAGTATTGCCCGCCTACCTGAGTTCTCTTTCCCTTCCCCTGCCAAGATGTCCCCATTGCCCATCACCTCAAGCGGTCAGATTTCACTGATCCACTTGTTACGGACGCCCCCCACCTCCAGGCAGGACCAGCGTCTAGACCGCCCACCAGCTGCGTGATCCGAACCTTCAGTCTCCTCACTACAGATACTTCTGGAAATCAGGGGAGCTGCCCCATCCTAGTCACCTGCCTCTGCCTCCCAAGTGCTGGGATCAAAGGCGTGTGCAGCTCTCTTCATTCTAACTTTGGTTGTCTGGACATAGAAGCCTTCTCTGGTGGGCATTTTCCTCCGTACTGAAGCATTCCATCTCAGAAAGTAAACGGCTCACAGGGTACAGGAAGTCCCTGTTAAACTGTCTGCAAGCTGTGCAGGGTCCCAGCTTTCCTGGGCTGTCACCCACACTGAGATGGCTCTCATTAGCTTGTGCGTAGTAACCCCTGACCCATACTCCTGTAAGTAAGCCAGCAAACTCACATTGGACTTTGGTAATATCTGTACGTTGATCTGTTATTGGTTCCCTATCTGGGGGAGTAGATTTTCGCTTACATCTCCCAAGGATCAGTGCCACCCAATGGGAAGAGGAGGAGGTATGAAGGGCCTGGCTCATAGCCGAGTTGTCTACCACAGCCCAGAGAAGCCCGACCCCCACTCCTGCGCCACTCACCATTGGAGGCGGTGAAGTCAATGGCCACGGTGAAATTGATCTGTGTTCTAAAGAAGAGAAGACCTGGGGTCACCTGAGGAGGATGGGCCGTGGGCAGCGCTGGGCAAGGCAGTAAAAACTACTGGGCACCCATGTTTGTCAGGCATGTGGCCTTAGAGAAGTCACTGTGCATAATCTCTGCGAGGCTGGGACAGTTGCAACAGCCATGCCCCTCTGTGAGGCCTCTGTGAGGCCACTGCGAGCACTGGGGGGAGCTCTCCAGAACACACAGGGGCTGATTACGCTGTGTGGGCATGCATGGTTCTATGGGCGCCTTCCCTTCCTCTCTGAACCTGTGCCCAAGCGAGTGAGTAGGTGAGGCCAGGGCTACTGGGTTTCTAGTTAAAATCCAGAGTCGGATTAATGGTTAAAAACATAACAAATGAGGAGACAAAACATACACTAAATATCTCTAGAAGGAAGACAATGACACCCAAGATACTGTCTGGCTGAGCTTCCACAGCTTTCTGGTAGATTTTTTTCTGATTTTGTTTTGTTGTGTTTGGTTTGTTTGCTTAGTTTTTGAGAGGGGGTTTCACTAGGCAGCCCTGGATAGCCTGGAACTTGGTTTGTGGCCAGGATGGTCTTGAACTCACAGAAACCCTCCTGTCTTTACCTTCCAAGTGCTTGGATTAAAGGCATGTGCCCCCATAGCCAATCTCTAAGTTCTCACAGAAAATACAGGAGACAGTTGTGTGTGTGTGTGTGTGTGTGTGTGTGTGTGTGGTGTGTGGTGTTAAATGACACCACAGGAGATACAGCCCGAGTCTATGAAAAACTGTATAGCATTACTATAAGAATCACAGTTGAGAACTTAGGAATCTCTGGTTCCCTCCAGATCCCACAAGATGAAAACAGAATTAAGAGAGAAATACATCAGTTAGTATTTGAATTTTGATTGGACTCTGCAATCAACCAATTTTGAAAAGTTTCAAGACAACCACTTGAAAACTGCCTCGCCTCTGGTATTAAGGAACTGTGAATTTTTCAGTGTTTGGGGTATTATTATGGACTGTGGTTCATTTTGTAATCACACAGTATGGCTATTAAGTTTAAACTTTTTTTTTATGTGTGTGTGTGAATGTGCACTTGAGTGCAGGTGCTGGAAGAGACCAGAAGAGGGTGCCAGATCCCCTAAAGCAGGAGTCACAGGCTGCTAGGAGTCACTTCCTGTGGGCAGGAAGTACTCTTAACCACCCAGCCATCACTTTAACCCCTGTGTACTTTATGAAGGGAAAGTCCTACCTTCTGTAGGACCTCGGGAGGGATGAGGGCTGGGACCTACTTCATCACAAGTGGGTAAGGAGACTAGACTCTGACTCTCTGGGCAAGGTCAATCAGAGTCTAGGAGGCTCCTGAGGCTCCCTTCTCAACGATACAGCATGTGTTAAAATTTTTCATAGTGAAGTTAGCCTGGAGGTTTCATGGCTGGCTGCTGTGGAATCCAGGCCAGATGTGGACAGAGTAAGACTGATGATGGTGTGTGCCTGGGTGGAGCCTCATCTTGTGATTCTCACACGGCTGTAAATCAGAGGGAGAGGATTCCTGGGCCCTCTCTCTGCGGTGATTCAACTGGGGCCCTCAGAATCTGCTTAACAAAAATCCTGGAGTCACAGGGGGGAAGGTACCTTGCCTGGGGACATAGAGAATGTAACAGGAGTCCTATTTCAACTGCATTTAGAAGGTCCCTTTTAGAAATCCCAGTTCTCTTGCCACCTGATCAGTCAAGCTGCTGTCCATAAACTCTTTGTCCCTTGGGAAAGAGTAAGCACCTGGCCAGCAGGAGACAAGCCAAGTTTTATAGGCAGAGGGAGTCCCATCATTCTGCTAGCTGGAGGCAGAGCATCCCCTGGACTCCAGTCTTTAAGAGAAGAGCCACAAGAGAGCAAGAGCCTGGGCCCCTGAGTGGCTGTTTATATCACCGCCACACTCAGTACTACCAGATACTTGTTTGAAGCCTGTGGCTGGGGACTCCTTGCTATAGCAGTAGACTGTTTGATGGTATCTCTCCATGTGGAATAACAGCATCTCTGTTGGAGGAAGGGAGACACCTGGAGATCAAAAGCCCTGATTCAGGGGCCATCCTTGGGAGGATGGCTCTGCTTTGCTGGACTACAGCTGAGGAACACTACTGGACTGTCTCTTCCAAAAACAGGGTGAGGGGAAAGGCTGGTGCTGTCCCTTAACTATTCTTCTATGCAAAGTCCTGAAAACATGGGGGAAGAAAGCAACGGTGGAGCATGTCTTTAATCCCAGCTCTCAGGAGGCAGCAGGCAGATCTCTGTGAGTTCGAGAACAGCCTGGTCTACAAAACAAGTTCCAGGACAGCCAGGACTGTTACACAGAGAAACTCTGTCTTGTAAAACAAAATGAAACAAAAAAACAAAAAAAAAAAAAAGGAAAGGAAAGAAAGGAAGGAAGGAAGGAAAGAAAAGAAAAGAAAAGAAAGCGGGCATTTTGGGACAACTCCCCGTAAAAAAGTTGCTCCTGCCTCCTGGCCTCATCTGACAGGGACAGAGGCACCGTCATTCTTACTCCTGGGCTCTGCAGGCAGGGAAAGGAAGCCAGGGTCCCAGACGGACTCCTCTGTCAGTCTCCTGCTTGGACAAGCTCTCTATGCTTCCACAGCCCAGAGTCAGTTGTCTGGCTCAGACCCTCCAGAGAGTTCTTTCTAGGGGTCTGACCTGCAGGGTGCTCCAGCAGTCCCCTGCCTCTTCAGCTTCCATCTGTAGTTAGCCCCATGGGAACAACAGAGGCGGTGAGGATTACTAATTAGCCAGGAACAAAAGGAGCCAGGCCACCTTGCAGGTGGGTGCAAAATGGAGATAAGGCTTCACCCCACCCTCTATGTAAATTAGGAGTGCTATGCAAATGAGAGGGTAAACAAAATGAAGCTTGTTTCAAAATTGCCAGGTGCAGAGAAATATGAGGGCTAGAGGCTTAATGCTTAATGGAATAAAGAAGGGAGAATTTTTGGTTTGCAGATTTTTTTTCTTTTTGCATGCAAGGAAAGTGCTATACCACTGAGCTGCACCCCAGTTCTGCAGAGGAGGCAGTGATGGGGAAGGCTGCCAAGACAGGGGGTGGATCTATGCAGAGAGGGGCTAGAGGAGGCCTCTGGGAGCCCACAGGGAGGGTGCGAGTGTGCTCTCTGTAGGGCTCCTAACCTTGAGGCTGCAAGTTCAAGAGACGAAGGAGCCGTGTCATGGGAAAGCCAGCGATGTCCCAGGACAGCGGTCTCTCTGTGCCCTGGAGACAGGGCAGCCGGTGCCTGCCAGGCTGGGATGCGCCCTGGGTAGCTGCCCTGCTTGTCTCCTCTCAGGCAGGTGCAGTCATCGCTTGCCTGCACCTGTGGGCTCTCAGCTGCCCACACCCTGACCTGGCAGCTGCCTGCAGGGAGTGTGCCAGGGAGGCCCCTCCTTGGAATCAGGCCATGCCTAGCAAGCTGTCAGCTGAGGCCTCCTGGCTGTTTTGCTGTGTTGGCCTGGAGGTCACCCCCGACAGTTCCTTCTGCTCTTTCGGCTGGGTGTTAGGCATCTGCTGGCCCTGGGACTGTCCCCGAATCTCACTGTTCTTACAGGTCCCTGTCCCACACCCATCAGGAGCCCAGTGCTGGAAAGGACCTCAACTTTCACCCATCACAAGCCCTGTGCTGAGGACAGCCCTGATACCCACAGAGAGAACGTGACTCACCATAGTAACTCAGGAAAGCCAAGGCAAACGGACAGGAGCCTGCGGCCCCTGATGCCCTGCCTAGAGCACTTTCTACCTCCCACACCTTGGCTCTCTCGGTCACGGAGTCTCTACCACCCTTAGCCCCTCCCACCTCTACTCAGGGATTTGACCCCTGCCTCAGAATCCAGGAGTTGGCGGGGTCCTCAGCTCCGAGGCAGAGTCTGCCTACACCCAGTGTCAGGCTCGGTTGGAGCCTCACGGTGTGTGCTGTGGTTACATGGTATGGAGCCCTGCCCTCTCCCGGGGCTGGGGAGACTGGGCCCCGTTTCCCTCACCCTCCTTTGATGTAGTCCAGGAAGGTGCTCTCTGACTCTACAGCGAAGGAAAGCAGCGTGACCTGGGAAAGAAAGAGGGTGTGGTTAGCGAAGAGCCCAGGATGGTCAGGATCTCACTGACGGGTGCTGGGTTCACCCACGTCACCCTATGCTGTGCCTGTGGCAACCCCATTTTACAGCCCAGGAAACGGAGGTTCCACGGATGCTGCCAGCATGTGGCACAGTAAAGGATACGAACCTGTCTGAATCCAGAATGTCTGTGACTTTCGTACTGAGGCAGGGTCTCCTATAGCCCAGGCTGCCCTTGAGCTCCTGTTCCTCCTGCCTTACCTCCTGAGTGCTGGAGTTTGGTGGGCTTTAGAACCACACTTCACGGTGAAGCCAACCCTACTGCTGAAGCACAGGGCCCAGGTGAAGGGCCCAGCCATCCTCCAAGGGTGCCCTGGGAAAACCCGGCAGAGCCCTGGCCTGCAATGTGGAGGGCTGCGGAGTCTTCCTGATGTAGGCCTAGCCGCCTGCGCCTGTCTCAGGCTGTGCTACCCTCTGTCACCATCCTGTCTCTGTTCTCTTCTCTGGCCTTGCACACTTCTGGGGTGTAATTCACCCTCAACCCCTCTGCTCCAAGACCCAGCGAGCAACCCGGTCCCCAGAACCCCTCTTCTGGTGGAAGCCTCCTGCCTTCTGTCCCTCAGAGACTTTGGCAATGGCCTTGTCCATGTAGGCAGCCTGTCACAAAGAGGACTGTCTGGGTCATGGAGAGGAGGGAGAGTGACCTGAAAGGAGGGGTCCCCCGAAACCAAGGAGCCCCTGTTGGTGAGGATCTGGTTACTGTCCCAGCCCCTCAGCTCGGCTAGGCCAGCTGTGACCAAGCTGATGTTCCCCAACCGGAAGAACGAGACAGAAGGTCTGTGTGCCGTGGCCCCAGAGAGCCCCGCCCCAGAGAGCCTCACCCAGGGGAACAGGGTGTGAAACACCTGAGAGCCACCGACCTCCTCCCAGGTGGCTCCCAGTCAACCAGAAACGGCCTACAATAGCACTTCACCCTTCACAGCCCACGAGATCCCCTGCAGTCAAGGTGGAACCCGCACCAAAGACGCCAGAGCAAATAGGACTGACTTGTTCTAGAACAGCGCTGGGGCTCCGCCTCAGGGCCTTTGTGTGCGCTGTGTTCTCGAAGGCCGAGTCGCTTTCTTCGACATTCTCAATATTTGCTCTATTTGGTATCACTTCCCCTACACCGACTGCAATCCTTCACGGATGTGTGCACATCACACACACACACACACACACACACACACACACACACACGTACTAATTAACCCTCTGCCTTCCCTATTACAAGTATCGGGGACCGGGGTCTGCCATCCCCTGGCTGTGTCACTTGTCCCCACAGCACTGCTGAGAGCCCAGTGCACAGTGCCTGAATTAATGTGGGAATGTCCAGCTGAGCAGCCCCAAGCCAAGGACCAGCGCTGACCCTGGCGGTAACAGTTGAGCAGGGGCAGGGCCTGCTGCCCACGCAGACGCGAATGAAAAGAGGTGCTCACTCACACCTGACTCCTGGCTGTGTAACCTGGCTGAGTCACTTCCCAGCCTGCGACCTGGGCTCCTTTCCGCACAGACGCCAGCATCGTCAGTTTCGGCCTTGCACAGAGCCCAGTGCCTGGGGATTCCCCACAAGCACACCAGCTTTTCCTTCTGCAGAGCCCCCCAGACTGATGGCTCCCTGATCTCCACTCACCTGGGACAGACCCCTGAGTGCCACTGCCTACTGAGATTGGGGTGGGGTGGTGGTGAGGGGTGTGGGGGAGGCAAAGTGGGGGGCTACTCACCGTGCCAGAATTCACGTATTTCTTTTTCTTCATTTTCTTTTTTGGGTTTATCACCTATAGGGGAAAGTTAAGTCAGGGAAGGTTCAGGGCTCCCACCAGCCCTGGGTGTGACTTGGGCAGCAGCCCAGCAGGGTACCGGGTGTGACTGCAGCTGGAAGGGCTTTCTTTGCCAGGCTTTGTGGGATGCTGGAAGCTGGGAGTCGTCGCTAACCCTGTGTCCCAGGATTCAACACACTGGGCCAGTTTCTTTAGCTTTGTCTTCCAAGGCCCTCAAACCCGCCCAGAGCAGCTGCGTGTTGCAAGACAGCTCTGCCCACACCTACCTGTGCCCGGCTGAGCTGCTCTGTCACCCCACACACCTGTCTTGCCTCAGCCTTGCCTTCCCCATTCTCCTTGGGGCTCCCACTCAGGGATATCCCGAGCTCTGAGCCTGGCTCTGGGCTGCCACCCTGGCCCACAGTGGGACACTTCCAAACAAGATCTCCTCCTCCCCCCGTGCTGCCCTCTCCTCCCTACGCGGTAGGCTCAGTAATGACTTGGGATGAACTCCGCTCTCCACTAGTGACAACCAGTGACACCCCTGACATTTGGTCAAGTCTGTAGATGTTGTCACCACTTGGGGAGAGAGTGGATGGTCAGGATGCTGCCCCTCAGCCATGACCCATGACCAATGCTGGGGAACCCCTGGGGCCAGGAGGAGGGCCACCTTGTCCTGGTGAGCCACACGACACTCTCTGTCCCCATGCTCAACAGAGGAAGTTTGGGCTTTCTCTGGATTCTCAACAGAGCAGGGCAGTTCCCACCCACGCCGTCACCTGTTGGCTTCTTCAGAATGCATGCCCCTCCCCTGCATGGCTCATGCCTCCTTTGGTTGGGGGCCTTCAATATGTCGCTTTGTTTGTTTGTTTGGTTTTTTTTTTTCGAGTCAGGGTTTCTCTGTCTTTGGAGCCTGTCCTGGAACTCGCTCTGTAGACCAGGCTAGCCTTGAACTCACTGAGATCTGCCTGCCTCTGCCTCCCAAGTCCTGGGATTAAAGGCATGTGCCACCATCGGCCAGCTCCTTTGACTGCAGTGTGCTTGGTCTAACTAGAACTGATACCCACAGAGATGGTGGATGATTCGCTCAAGGTCACACAGCCACCTGGGTAGACACAGGATTATAAACCTGTGTCTAGGCTAGCGATGCATTCATACAAGGCTGTCGTCTGGTGAATGACTGACAGGCGGGACTGAGATCAAGTCTGAGAAGCTGAATCACCGGGAAGTGCCTCTCTAGCCACGGAGCAACCCTCTCCTACTGCACCATAGGGTCCTAGCTACCCAAACGGACAGACAGTTGCGGCCTCTACACTGTACTACAGTGTTTGACCAACTGGAGCCAAGTGTGTTCCGAGGTCTCCCTTCAGCAGAGGGAAAGGAGATGGGACCTGGGGTGTGGATTTCTTTATATTACCCCTTTGTTTCGTTTTATTTTGCTTTCTGTTTTTGAGACAGGGTCTCACCATGCTGCCCAGGCTAGCCTTGAACTCAAGCTCCTCCTGCCTCAGAGTCCTGAGTGGTGGGACCACACGGACAAACACCACCACGTCTGACACATTTCTTTGAAGCCTTCTGCATTACCTTTAATGAACACGTAGTCACATTTCTGCTATCTGACGCAGCCCGTTTACGTTAAAGCAACAGTTGGCGTCAGATCTGAATGGATAATGAGTTGGCCCCTGTCTACTCTGAAGGCTCCTGGGATTTCCCAGAACCTCCTCTCTAGTCACAAGTGACTGCCAGGTTCCACACAGGGCCAGAGCGCCCCCTAGGGACACTATCAGGAACTGGCCCACTCCAGCAGGCTACTTTTCTTTCCTGTTTTGAAATCAGCTTGCCTGTGCACCAGGCTACTGGGACTGCAGAATCAAAGACCCCACCTCTGAGGACCTCGTGGTCTTGGAAGGGCCCCAGGCACAGTGTGGGGGAGGGGCGGTGTGTGGGTAGAGACTTACAAAGGAGGAGATGACTTCCTGGAGGGAGCATTTGAGAAGGTCTCCAGGGACTACAGATATTGTGGCAGAGGGGGGACCTTGGGGGACAGCTACAAAACTGAGGTTATATGAAGGACAACAGCCTCAGAGGGTAGAAGTGACTGACAGCCAGAAGCAAGGCAGCTCACCGCTCAGAGACAGGCATGGAGCTCAGCTGTGGTGAAGCCGAGCTATTCAGACAGGCTGGAGGCTGCAGCAGCTTGGTCAGTTACCTCGCAGCACAGCTCCCCACGGAGACCTGCCATGACTTTAAAGCTGGCATGTTAGAGAGTGGGGATGTGGAAGGAAGCTCATTTTAGGGCAGCATGGGGCTGCAGGGCACCTCGCCTGTGGACCATACCCAGAGCGTTCTGGTCACTGAGAAGGATGGAGGAACCACAAAACTACAGCAAAGCCTACACCGTGGAGAGGATGGTGGCGGACTGAGGTTGGTGAGCTCAGGAGGAAGATGGTAATGTTGGTGATGACCCTGAGGGCTTGGAGACTTGAGGCCTCTCTTTTGCAGATGGCGGGAGGAGGGCAGTGTTTGAAGAGGCCTAGCTGGTGGTGAGTCAGCCCTTAGCAGGGGGGGGGGGGCTGGATCCAGGGAAGTGCCCACACACCGCTGGCCTAGCAGTAGGTACCTCCAAGGTGGCTTCAGGGTTGGACATGAGGTGCTGACTGCTGAGAGCTTTCTTTCACAGTCTTGACTCTAGCAAGGCCTTCCTGAGCTCACTTAGCCTCCTAGCAACACACACCCCTGGGGTTCAGAGCTGCCTGTGGGGCTGCGGAAGCTGTTTTTCTCAGGCTGGCTTTTCCATCCAGAGATGGCAAGGCTGCTTCCCATGTGGCAGCTCGCATCTCCTTGGTGGCGAAGAAGCGATGATCAATGACTGACTGCAGGAACGAGCCCATGCTCGGTTTTACTATCTATGCTTCCGATTCTTGTTTTGCTTAAAATCTCCCAGCCAGTCAGGTGGTGGCGGCTCACGCCTTTAATCCCAGCACTAGGGAAGCAGAGGCAGGCAGATCTCTGTGAGTTGGAGGTCAGCTGGTCTGCAGAGCGAGTTCCAGGACAGCCAAGGCTACACAGAGAAACCCTGTCTTGAAAAACAAACAAACAAAAAAGATCTCCTAGCCAATGGAGGTCACACTCCAAGAGTTCACCTCTCCATCCACTTTGCTGAGACCCTCCTCGAGGAGGCAGATTCTGCCTTGCCTCGTTTGGGGGACTCAGGCAGCCTAGAGCAATGCATGGTGCTAGTGTCCTTCCCCAAGCCGTAGCCGTGGCGGCTGGAGGGGATGGCTCAGCAGTTAAGACCTCTGGCTGTTCCTCCAGAGAAACTACAAAGTGAAGATACAGGGCCACTCTAAAGTCAGAAGCTCAGGTCTTGGCTCATGGCCTCCTTTTTCTTCCCAATGCTCGGGACTGACCCTGAAGGCTCTTCCTATGGTGTGTGTGCGTGTGCGTGTGTGTGTGTGTGTGTGTGTATGTGCGTGTGCCTACTGAACTACTCCTCCAACCCCCAGACTTCCTTACTGCCCCCTCCCTGGTGAGGAGTGTTCTGTAGGGGGTGGTGTAGCTCAAGGACTTGGAAGTCAGGGTTAGCTTTGTGTGGAGCTGTGTGTGTGGTGTATGGGGTGTATGTCTGGGGGGGCTCTGTGAAATGGGAACATGAAACTAACCTTGTGAGACAACATGGAAGTCCCAAGCTCAGAGCTCCCATATCCTTGCTGTAATAACCCAGACCCCCTATGAGAGGAGACCCCACCCCGGTGCAGCTCACCTCATAGATGTTGAACTGACTCTGGCCCCGCGCCAGCTCTCGGTAGCTGGTGGTGAACTCCCCAATGAAGTCGTGGCTGCAAAGGAAGAGACTGCTGAGCCTGGAGGCCCAGGCTAGGAAAGCCTTAACTCATCCTGGCCTCTCCTGAAGCCTGCCCCTGCCCCCATTCTGCCAGGGCCTCCAATCCAAGCCACAGAGAGCCCGGTGTGGGAAGGGAACTCTCTGTTACTCATGGACCAAGAGAGCCACTTGGCAGAAGACAGGATCCTGGAGGAAGGAGATGCAGGATTGCTTGGGTTCTTACTTAGACGAGTTAGCGAGGAAGGGCATCTGGGGACAGTCACTGCAGAGTGAACGTCGGATGGCAGTCTTGCATTCCCGCTCAGTGTGTCAGGTGGGATAATGGCACTCACAGTTACGCGGGGGAAATGTGCTTATTTTATAGACACGTCTAATGAAATATTTAGGGGTAAAGCCACGATGGAATTTCCTTTAAATTACATTAGTAAAATATAGATAAGGCAAACAGTAAAATTTAACAATTGTCAGATTCAGATGATGGATTAAAGGCATTCATTACCTCCTCCCTGCGGAGACAGGTTTCCATGAACACAGCCTCGCTATGGAGCTCTGGCTGGCCTGAAACTTTCTAAGGTAGACCAGGCTAGCCTAGCACTCCCGGAGTTCCACCTGCCAATGCCTCCTGAGTGCTGGGCCACACCTTTAGTATATAAAAAATTTCAATTTTGGGCTTTTGGAGACGTAGTTTTGTGTATCCCAGTTTGGTTGTGCAGCCAATGATGACCTTGAACTCCTGATCCCTGTCTCTACTTCCAGAGTGCTGGGATGACAGGGATGGGCACTCTGTGTCACTAATGGCCACTGTCTTGTTATTTTATTCATTTGGCGATATCTCCCCATTGTATTGCCCGGGTTGGTCTCAAGCTTCAATCCTCCCACCTTAGACTCCTGAACTGTGGGGATTAGAGGTCCACGAGGACACTTTCCCAACCTTCCTCAGGTGCTGGGATGGAACCCTGGGGCTTGAACATCTTAGACCAGGGCTCTGTCTCTGAGCTACACGCTGACTCGGCTGTCCGCTAACATTACATTCAGCCAGGTGGCAGGGGTCTTCTCCAGAGTCTGTTTATATTAAACACATCAAGACCTTCCACAAAACAGCCCTCCCTCCTGCCCTGAGTCCTTGCTAGAATGCAGCGCTTAGCAGTCTAGCTGGGGCGTCCTCTTGCTGGAGCACCCGTGTCCCTGGAGCCATGCCCTGCTGTGAGCTCACAGTAGTTTTTGTTTGTTTTGATTTTTATACAAAGTTATAAAAAGTAGTGGATTTCATTATGGCACTATCATAGATATATACACTTTAGTTTGGGGGGGTTGTTTAATTCTACTGGTTGTGTGTGTGTGTGAGCGCGCGCGCGTGCGCTTGAACCACAAGTGAATATGGAGGTCAAAGGGCAACTTTGCTGAGCTGGTTCTGTCTGCCTTTATGTGGGTTTCCTGGATTGAACTCAGGTGTCAGGCTTGTGCTGTGGGTACCTTTGCCCACTGAACCATCTGCCAGCCCTGGGAGCTGATTTATTTAGTTTTAGTACAGGATGGTGCTCAGGGTCTCGCAGATGCTAGGCTATGGCACCACCACTGAGCTACACCCCCAGCCCCACAGTGTTGACCATAGACTCACAACTATCGGCCTTCTGGGGATGGTAAGTGGACGGGAGGACCCTGTAGCCCCCGGTGGCTGGCCCTAGTTCCCAGGTAAAGGAGATATATGGAAGATGTCTATAAGGGAACAGGGCAAATCGGGCTAGAAGCGTGGCGGAGCTGATCCTGTCGGCTGGAAGGGATGGGAAAGGTGGGGGCGGGCACCACCTTTTATAATACAAACAGCCCCCGTCCACAGCCCATATCAGATCTGGGAGACGCCAACTGTGACCACCCTTAGGGAGTGCCCCAGCACGGAGTAGCCACAAGATGCCAGGCTATGTCCATATTTGGCTCCACAGACAAGTGGGAGACAGCAAGGGTTCTGGATTCCTGCTCTTGTCCTGTCTAGAAATTGCCAGCCACATTTACCCTCTGTCTCCTGCAGGCCAGACCCAGCCCTCCTTAGGCACTGCCTTAGTCCTTCCTGTGCCTCAGAACACCCCGCTGTCGCTGTCCCTACAGTGATTCTCTTCGACCTCCGTCTACTCTCTAAGTTTGCAGTGACCCTCGCTAGACTGTGGGACATCTCTGGGCATCCAGTGTATCCTCTACAGCCTGGCCTTCCTCAGCGCCTAGCCATACGGAGAAAGGAGGCGCCCACGAATGTTCAGTGTCCAACAGGAGCGCTTCAGGGCATCCCCATTCTTCATGTGAGGAAGGTGCAGGCATGGGCTGGCTCCTGGCAGCCACGTAGGGGAAAGGAGGGCTCTCAGGCACCCTGCTCCACAGGACCTGCGCTACCGGGATGGCAGGCCTTCCTGCGTGGATTCTGGCCACTCATTCCCAGAGTACCCAGATGGGCCTGGCTCAGTTTCCCCAGAGCTCCTAGGTCTACTCACCTTCCTTCGCCTCTCTCGGCCCCCACCCTTACCTGCCATCACGATCCCAGTCGTAAACCTCCACCTTGATGGTCCTAGAAAACAAACAGAGAACCCTGGGTAGGATGGACCTGAGGACAGCCGGGCCAGGAGGGACACATGCAGGCACTCCCTCCACACTCCAAGCCTGTGTGGAAAGAAAGCAACCCAAGAGAGTCCAGGGACCCATCTTGAGACCTTTAAGCAAAGATCTTAGGACCGAAGGCCACCAAGAGCTATGGTGGGCCATCCTGAGATCTCGAGGATTGGCTGAAGTGGCCTCAGGCCTCTGTTTACCCATCTTCTTGGCTTCCCTGGATGGAGTAGAAGCCTTGGCAGGAAGCCAAACTGGGCATTTACCTGCGGCAGGGCCATGAGGGGGCAGCTCTCACAATGAGGCAGGGAAGCCTCTATTAGAGAGGGTCATAAGATAGCTTGGCGGGGAGGATCATGAATGCGGGGGTGTGGGTGATGAAGAGCCAGCCCCAACCCTGCAGGTCAAGGCAGGACCCCTGGGCCCTGAGCTCCCCACCCCTGAAAAACGGTGTGATTTTCTTCACATTCTAGCCCAGGCTGCTTTAATTAGTTTGTTTTGACTCCTAAGCATGGGGCTGGGTTTTAAGAGCCCATCTTATTTTTAGCAGTGTTCCCATAGCAACAGGCTAGTGGACCAGAAGCAGGAGGAGGGAGGTGGAGGGTTGCCGGTTAACCCTTGTGCGTCTGCTCTGTCCTCTGGGATGCCCAGGCATGTGGGAGCTGCCAGGCAGCACCTACAGGGTCTAGGAAAGGCGAGAGAGGCCCGGAAGCAGGGGTGTCTGGTCTTGAGCTACACCTGGGACGCACAAGGCAGTTTGAACTGGTTTCTCTTCTAGTAACATCTATCCCACCCGTGGTGTGGTCCATCTTGGCCCTGCCAGAAGTCGGCCTGGAGTTCTGCAGCTCCCAGAAGGGGGCGCTGTCTCCTTTCAGATGAATATTTTTCAGGCTCCGTGTGGGGGTGGGAGGGTAGGGCGCAGATTCATAGAATGGGGCAGAAGAAAGTTCCAGAATAGAACCCTGGGATGCCTGGAAGGTTATGCAGGGGCTAGCTTTCTGTAAATAAAATAATAGGAAGCAGCTATCGAAGCATGGTTTAGATGTGTCCTTTGCTTTCTTATCTTATGAAAACAAACCCTATGGTTCCTTGAGCCAGATTATTACGTGGAAGTACAGACTGATGTTGGCACGCCTGAGCTTCTGAAGGTGCTGGAAAGAGGCCAGATGTGACACTGGTGTCTTCGACTTGGACGCTGGACTCCCCTGTGGGGCCACAAGCCCTGACTGTAAAATGGAGACAGTAAGGGCCTCACAGAATAAACAGCTTGCTGTGTGTGTGTGGTGGTAGTGGTGGGGGTCTAGAAAATGCCTCATTTTCATCTAACCATGCATGAATGCCTTTTCATATGAAATTTACTTAAAGCTGGGCAGTGGTGGAGCTCGCTTTTAATCCCAACACTCAGGAGATAGAGACAGGCGGATCTCTTGAGTTTGAGGACAGCCTGGTCTACAGAGGGAGCTATACAGAGAAACCTGGATTGGAAAAGGAAAAAAAGGAGGGAGAGAGAGAGGAAATGAGAGAGGGAGAGAAAGAGAAAGAAAGAAAGAAAGAAAGAAAGAAAGAAAGAAAGAAAGAAAGAAACTTAAATCAGGATATTTGAGGAGCCTGGGCTCCTAGACTTTGCAATTTCTGGTTCCCAGATTGACAAGGCTGGAAGTGACCTCAGTGGTATCTAAGTCTGGCCTCTTGGCCAGAGTTCACACAGCCCGCCATTCTCAAAGCTTGAGGTTTTGGAAGGGCACTGGTGACTGGTGGCCTGTGCTGATGGCCTCCACTTCATTTCCACAGGATGAAGCAGAGCCCTAAGGGTACAACACTGTGACTGTCCAGAGCCACCCAGCTGTGAAGACAAGGACAGGTCCCTGCCTTCCAGCCCCGCCTGTGAGGCTGAAGGGAGCCTCCCTGCTTGGCTAGTTATAGCTACGGTTTTCTTAGTCTCCTAGCTCACCACAGAGACCTTCAGAGACTGGTAAGGGAAACCTCTCCTCTGGCCACCAGCCTCTTGGGAGATTAGGTAGGTGACAACAACATGTCAGAAGCTATCTTAGGTCCCTAGTTATGGTGACAGTCCTTGGTATCAACAAAAGTACTTTTGAGAAATTGATGAGAAAACTGTCCTTCAGTCTTGCAGCTAAGCCCCTTGTGGTGGCCCCAGCACTCGGGTGGTAGAGGCAGGTGGATCTCTGTGAGTTGGAGGTCAGCCTGGTCTATGTACCAAGCTCTAGGCCAGTCAAGGCTCCACAGAGAGACTCCAAACAAAAAAACCAACAACCAAATGAAAAAAGTCCTGAAGCTGGTAGAGGTCCCCTAACACTTTAGGTTTTTTTTTTTTTTTAATGTATACAACATTCTGTCTGTATGTATGCCTGAAGGCCAGAAGAGGGCACCAGACCTCATTACAGATGGTTGTGAGCCACCATGTGGTTGCTGAGAATTGAACTCAGGACCTTTGGAAGAGCAGGCAATGCTCTTAACATCTGAGCCATCTCTCCAGCCCTCCCTAACACTTTAGAGAAATGGACTACCCTGGTGACAGGAACTGTTGTCCCACAGAACACAAAAGAAGATACCGGATGTGTGGTGGTGAGCTCTGTGGACAGACACTGGGGCCAAGGCTGCCACCCTGAGTTTGATCCCTGGGATCCACACGGTAGAAGGAAAGAGCTGATGCCTGAAAGTTGACCTCTGCCCTCCACAGGTGCACCATGGCACAGCAGCCTCCTCCTCCACCAGTAAATACACACACGTAATAAACAATTAGATCTCAGAGTTGAAGGGCCTGAAATATTTCACTGGCTGCGATTCTGGCTGTGAATGGCTCTGCAAACTCCTCTAAGCCGCCCTAGCATGCTGCAGAGCCACTGGCCTCTTCAGACTGGACAGGGCTCTCACCCTGCTTGATTTAGAACCGGCAGGTCCAGGGTGCAGTGTGGGCAGGGTGGGGGCTAGAAGTTCCCCAGGGGATGGGAACTGGCAGCTGAGGATGGCTGTGAGATCCCTGGGTGCTGGTTTGGCCTCAACCTAGGCTCCTGGACTGCTGTGGCCTGGGAGGGTCGGCAGAGCTCAGAGGCCGTATTTCCAGGCTGAGCCTAGGTGGGGAAGAAAGTGGAGAACAGCCCCCATGGAGCAGCCCCAGGTACAAGAAGGCCTGGAGACAAACTGGTTGTCACTGTCTACACTCTGTTGCGAGCCCAGGTCACAGCAGATGGGGCTTGGGACCTCTGGGCCTAGGCTCTGCAAGCTAAAGTTAGTCTGGCTGTGACTTATCCATAAGACCCAAGAAAATGAGCTTGTGGGTGAGGGATAAGAAAACAGACCACAGCGGCCCATTAAACCAACATCTCATTTGGCACAAACAGGCTGAGAACTCAGAGTCCCAGGGGAGGCAGTGAGAAGGGCAGGGACGGGCATTGCTCTGGGGACAGTAGCCCAGGGCAGTGCCCCAGATCCTACGGGTCTGTCTGTGTAGCCCTGAGGGCTCCACGGGGGACTCTGTTCCTCTGTACATTTTGGGACAGTTACTGGCTCTGTGAAGGTGCTGTCTCCAGCCACCCTGCAGGCACCAAGACATTTATCTCTGTCCCTGTCGGGCCAACTCAAGCTTTTTTCCATCGCCAGACAATCCTATGGTTTGTGAGAACATCCTCCATGGCTCAGAGATTATTGGTTTTGCTCACTGTCATAGGCTTGGCTTCGAGAAAGGTGCCTGGCAGATAGGAGGCACATAACGAACACTTGCCAGCTGGCAGGGTGGCCTGACACCTCTGTGAACGGACTATGCCGTAACCTTTCCCTGGCTTCAGAAAAACACCCAAGGAGGCATCCAAGCACGCTCAGAGTGGAAAATCAGGAGTCAGTGGCCCAGGCCCCTGACAGCCAGGGCTAGAACCATAAAGTCACATCAGAGTGAGATGGGCAGGGTAGGGAAGCAGGTGAAATCTCCAGGCCTCCTCCCTGAGTACCATAGTATACACTGTTGTGGAATATCACTTTAACTAGGCAAAGATGTGTTACATTTGTTTATGTTGCAGAATATTACTCTAACCATATAAAGGTGTGTTACTTTTGTTTACGATGCAGACTATTACTCTAACCATATAAAGATGTGTTACATTTGTTTGTGTTGCAGAATATTACTCTAACCATATAAAGATGTGTTACTTTTGTTTACGATGCAGACTATTACTTTAACCATATAAAGATGTGTTATATTTGTTTATGTTGCAGAATATTACTTTAACAGTATAAAGATGTGCTACTTTTGTTTACGATGCAGACTATTACTTTAACCATATAAAGGTGTGTTACTTTTGTTTATGCTGCAGACTATTATTTTAACCATATAAAGGTGTGTTACTTTTGTTTACGATGCAGACTATTTAACCATATAAAGGTGTGTTACTTTTGTTTACGATGCAGACTATTTAACCATATAAAGCTGTGTTACATTTGTTTATGTTGCATTTGTTTAATTATGTAAAGATGCGTTGCGGATTCACCTTGTCGGCCTAAGGTACTTGATTGGTTTATTAACTAGCCAATAGCTAAGCATTAGAGCTTTAGGAGGGGCTGGTGGGCAGAGAGAATGAGGAGGGGAAATCTAGGCTGGGGAGAATGAGGGAGAGAGAGGGAAATGCCCTAGAGCCAGCCAGTTGGACATGGAGAAAGTAGTGAAAACAGGACAAATGGAATGAAAGAAAGGTTAAAAAAAGGCCTGAGGCAAAATGTAGAAGAGAAACAGGTTAATTGAAGTTAAAAGAGCTAGTGGGACAAATACAGATAAGGCCGAGCATTCATAACTAAGTCCCCGTGTCATGATTTGGGAGTCAGAGGCCCATAAGCAAGCCTGTTACAATATACTGCAGTCCCTCTGGACCATGGCAGTAAG